AGAAAAAAGGAACCATGGCAGACGATGATGCGGAGAGGAGAGTTTATTTTGAAAAGATTGAGTTTTTAAGGTTGGGAAAGATCGCTAGATGCGCTACCATCCATGTTTTCTTCTGTAAACACAGCATGCTTGTGATGTCACAGCGCATGTGGGGCGCTTAAGCTGTATAAATGCAGTTCACACAGGAGATCACAAGTCGTATATATATATATATATATATATATATATATATATATATATATTATATATAAATATATATTATATATAAATCACATTTCACAAAGAAAACGGGGGTTGAGTATCAAGGCCTGCAGTGGATGTAGCCTTAGAGCAGGTTAAAACTGTTATTCTAATAAAGTCTTCATCAACGTGTGTTTAGGACTTTGGTCTGGATGTTGCAGCCTTTGAGAACATGATTGGAGATTGCCCCACGGCGTTCTTCAGCCTGGCTGTGACCTGCTGTAATGTAAGAGCCCCCCTCCCCCTCCTGTTTCCTGCTCACTGGGCCTCAGATCGCGGCTGAGTTTTTCTTTTCTTTCTGGTTTTCAGATGCGTGCAGAGAGACGTCCCTCATTCTCTGATATTGTCTCCACATTGGAGGCCCTGCGAGGAGAGGACAAACACGCAGCCATCACTCTTGGTAAAACACTTCATCAGGTTTATTCATCCATGATCTGATCAGACCAGGTCTGCTTTTAGTTGTTGACACCAGCAGGAGGAGGAAGATTTTAGTCTGACATCATGTTTAGAAAACCTCTGGAGTGTTTTATTTGACTAGAAAGTAAATTAGAGGTCAGGGTCTGTGTGACGGAGACCAACAGGAAGCTGCAGGAATGCTAACTGCTGTCTGCTTCTGCTGCTAACAGAGCCGCCGATGGTGACTGTCAGCCCATACCGGCGCCGCAGCTCCCCCTGTCACCCCGGAGACCACGGCCAACCCAGGAAGGGCCTGGCCAGGAGCCAGTCAGATATGACGCCCCCAGGAACCCTGACCCCGCCCCTCCTTGGAACACCTGCGCGGGTCAACCCCTTCTCCCTCCGCAGAGACCTAAACGGCGGGCGGTGTAAACTGCTGGACACGCCCAGCAAGTCGGTCATCTCCCTGACCTTCGCCCTGCCAGCGCGGGATTCCTGTTGCTCCCCCCGCCTCCTCAGAGGTACATCAGGGATACAAGCTCCACCCAGGAGGTGTCAGTCGCTCCCCAGTACGCCAGAAATCAGCCGGACTGCAGCGTTCCCCTGTGACAGCAGGCAGGAAGAGGGCAGGCGGGGGCAGGTTGGCTCTATGGAGGCTGATGGGACGGTGGGGGGGTCAGAGAGGACGGAGGTTACTGAGGAGGGGGGCGGGGATGCTGGTCTGCCTCTGGAGCTGGAGATGGTTTCTCTGGAGCGGCTGGAGGAGGAGGAGGAGGAGGAGGAGAACAATGAGGAGAGTGTCTGTCTCCATGAACCCATGGACTGCACCAAGTCCCCAGAACCAGCCAAGAGACCCCTAAACTCCGCCCACCTCAGACCCCTGCTGACCAACGGCTGGCGGCGGCCCATCTCCAACGGACCGCCTTCTTTTCCTGCTCTGCCAAAGCTGGACAACAACAACCTGTCGGAGCTGGTGATTGGCCAGCCGGTCCAATGGGGGCGGGGACGGTACTCCAATGGATGCAGTGACGGCCAGGTCCCGCCCTCTGACCTCACAGGCTCCTCAGAACGAGATGAGGTCACTTCCTGTCCAAGCTGCTGCTTAGTAGGTCTGAGTTTCCCCTCCATGTGCCTCCGTGGCTCAGCGGCTGTCCCCGTCTCCCGGCGAAGGGCGTCGTTACCCCGACAACGGCAGTACCAGAACCTCAACGGTACAATAACTGGTAGCAGTGCTTCCTCTTCCTCAGCCGCCGCTACCAAAACGCTCCTGTATCGCAGCAGCAACGGACTGGTGGTGACGGACCGGTCCACTCCACGTGAGCCCAGCCGCTCCCTGCCGGAGGCGCAGTCTTAGCTCCCCCTCTGACCCACTTTAAACCCAAAGCTGATGGTCTGAGAGGTGGACGGAGGTAGAAGGTCATCATGGCGGCTGAAAGGAAACGCCTCAGCGCGTCTGTTAGAGTCCATAGATGGTCCAAAGGTTCCGGAACGCTGGTGGATCGCTTCTGCTCCGTACAGCAGAGTGATGCTTGTGTTCCGCAGC